AATATATAGTGTGCATAGCACAGCATGAGAACCAACCAGTTATGGACATCTACATATGTAGATACGTGCATTAAAAAAAAAGTAATAAGTAAGAAAATATTTTTGTGACATTAAAGATCCACCAAGCAATCCTTACATTATTTTTTGCTATAAGTTTTATTTTGTTTTGTACTGTGGACAAGAAGATTGAGAAAAGTAACACAGATTTTCCAAGGAATACACTAATACAGTGGCTCTCAAATGGAGACATTTAGCAATGCCTGGGGATTTTTTTATTATCTAACCTGCTGGCATCTAGTGGGTAGAGGTAGGAATGCTGCTAAACACCCTACAAGGAGCAGGACAAGGCCCCGCAGCAAAGAATTATCTGGTTCAAAATGTCAGTGGTGCCGCTCTTGATAAACCTTGCATTAACAGGATTTTTGGAATTTTAAATCCTGAAAGAACTCAGAGTAAGCTTGCAATTTATGCTTAAGACAAAGCTAAAGGCAAACTTGAGTAGTAGAATGATAGAATCTGGAACCAACAGGGAAAGGCATTTAATCCTGCTTCCCCATTTTCCAGGCAAGATAACTTAGTCACAAGGAAAAAAAGTGACCTGAAGCAAGGTAACTTCTCTACCTCCTAAATACGTGATCGAGCTACTTGACCAATCTCTCTGTGCCTCAGTTTCCTCATCTGTCAAAAAGATGTTAAAACTTGCCTCAAATGACTGCTCTGAGAATGAATTAAAATAATAAAATATAAACTATTTAGCCATGGTGAGTTATTGGTAAATAGTGGTGGTAAGGGCAAGGTAGTGATTATCGTTACTGCTATTTCCTCAGTTCACAAAGCTATTCACATCTTGTTTAATCCAGTTCCCTGGATAAAACACTATTTCTACTAACACTGCCTTGAGGGTTTATGTAGAAGGTTATAGGGGCAACTTAATGGAGATTAAAGAAAGCAGCTTCCTAAAACCAAAACTATACCCATTGTCGTTGAGTCAAATTCCAACTCACAGCAACCTTATAAAACAGAATAGAACTGCCCCATAGGGTTTCTAAGGCTGTAATCTTTACAAAGGCAGACTGCCAGTGGGTTCAAACAGCTGACTTTTTGGTTAGCAGGTGAACGCTTAACTACTGTGCAACCAGGGTAATCCAAGAGTAGGAAAAGAAAGTCTAAAGAAAAATTCTCCATGCAAACCAGAAACCAAACCCACTGCCATTGAGTCAATTCCAACTCGTAGTGACCTCCACTGGGTTTCCAAGGCTGCAAGTCCTTACAGAAGTAGATTGCTTCATCTTCCTCTCATGGAGCAGCTGGTGGGTTTGAACCACCAACCTTCTGGTTAGCAGCCAGATGTCTTACTCACTAAGTTGCTATTGTTGTTGTTATGTGCCTATGTGCCATCGAGTTGACCCAACTCATAGCGACCCCTCCTTGGGTTTGCAAGGCAGTATCACTATGGAAGTAGATTGCTCCAGAATACCTTCAAAAGACAGAAAGGGGCTTTAAATTGCAAGCAGAACGCTTAAAGAAGACAAAGATTGACTCCTATCTGGAACAGACTTCCTTCTCTCTCTCTTCCCAAAGTTATTTGAATGGTATTCCAGGTGGTCATGCCTCCAGGGAGGGCAGAGCTTAGACCAGATGACCTTTTCAGACCCCTATCAGTCCTGCTCACAGCAGCAGGAAGTCTGTCTCTCGGAGAGAATCCCTAAAATGCGATGATTAAACTGTTTATCTGGTAGCCATTCCAACTCTGAGATTCCCTGATGTTGGATAAGTTTTGTGGACCTTTTGGAAAGATCATGTGACACTGTATATCATTCCCTGTGATCTACAACCACAAACCTCCTGTTTTATGGTTTGTGGAGTGAAGAATGTTAGGCACCACATTGGTCAACATAGGCATATGATTAAAATGTTGTGCAAAATATTTCTTTCCAAAAATAATGTTTTCTTACCAACAATTCTGTAAAATAGGTTTCTTCTCATGCTTAAAAGACTTACGAAAATTCTTTGCAGTTGCTCTATGAGTTGAATTTTTATTTCTCTTGTTAGTTACCTAAATTGTTTTTAACTGATGGCTTTCTATAAAAACACCAAAACCAGTTTTTGTCCCCTTGTGGTTTATCTTCATATGTAGGATGCAGCTGAAGTCTTTGTATTGGAGACAATCTTATTCTTTTTAATTCAAACTTTTTATATATTTTTCCCTTCGATAGCCTTCTATCCTTAGGTGTCTTAATCATGGCTGCTGCTCTACTTTACTTCTTTTAATGAGGGAAGTATTGGGTGGAAGGAGCAGAATATTGTGCTCAATGAATGAGTGCCCAGCACTTGCCTGGTCCTAGGTTAGGTGCTGCAGGGGATACAGAATGAGTAAGTCTTTGCCAACAGGCAGTTTGTGAAAGAGCCAGTGCCAGGTGGAGCCACACTGGAACCTAAGATATAAGAGAAATCAGTAATACCAATCCTGTCTTTATTGACATTTTCTGTTATTATCATCTAGTTTGTGCATTAAATTTGATTTTTAAAAACATTTCATTAAATAACATAAAATCTGCAAAACACTGCAGAATGTGGATATACCTGGATGACATTTTTCTGTGAACTAAGTCAATCCCAGAAGGAAAAATGTTATATTTAGTCCACTGTTGTGAAAAATCAAGGAAAGGTTTATATATGGAACAAAACTTTCTTTATTGGTTACCAGGGGTGGGAGGGGAGGTGAGGGAACACTGCTAGATAGGTAGAGACAAGTATTGATTTGGGTGAAGGGAAAGGCAGTGTACCAAATGTGAGTGATCAACATGGTGGCACTGATGAAGAGGAAGACATAGAGAGGTACATGGGAGGTACAGACAACAAAGAAGAACACATATAGTATTGCATTGTCAGTGAAGGCAAACATTGATCTATGGGTGGATAGATGGGTGGACAGACTGAACTATTAGGTATGTCTATGCAGGGGGGAGTGTGCCCGTGACTGTTTATAGGGTTGGCGGACAATTTTTCTACAGGTGTATTTGTATGTTCTGTAGGAATGTCCAGGTAGATAGTAGAGCTGACAAGGGACAAGGTTGTGGTGTCTTCTTAGCCACAGCCAGCTACCCAGAGGGAGCAAGCTGTGGGCTTGGGACCATAGTCACAGAGGACATCAAGATCAATGGGCATAACATACTACACAAAACCATTGTTCCACATCCCACTTTAGTGACTGGTGACTGGGATCTTAAAAGCTTGCAAGCGGCCATCTAGATGCTGCAGGGGATACAGAATGAGTAAGTCTTTGCCAACAGGCAGTTTGTGAAAGAGCCAGTGCCAGATGGAACCACACTGGAACCTAAGATATAAGAGTCTCTCCTTGTCCTGAGCATAAAAGAATGAAAAAAAAAAACATGGGTCTCTCCTTGTCCAGAGCATAGAAGAATGAAGAAAACCAAAGTTGCATGGAAAAAATTAGTCCAAGGGACAAATAGACCATGCGATCCTCAGTCTATATGACCATAAGACCAGAACTAAATTGTCCCCGGCTACCACTGTCACCCACTCAGAAGGGGGTTCTATGCAGGAGATCCTCGATAGAGTGAGAGAGCAATGTGGAACAAAACTCAAAATCATTTTTTTTAAAAAAAAGGACTAAGTTTGCTGATCTGATAAAGCCTGGTGAAACCCCTGAAACCATGGCCCCTCCCTACCCCTTCAGGTCTGGAATGACTTCCAACCAAATAAAAGACAGGCATATGAGCTGAACATTTATTTACATTAGGTGGATACACTCCTTGGAGAAATCAGTCATGGGTGAATAAAAGGGCAGTGTATGCACAGGGAGACAGCTCAGGGGGCAGGAGTGAATGGAGGGAAGGACACAGGGAAGAGGTAACTATGGAGAAGAAGTGGGAAGAGAGCTGTCACATTGTGGGGGATTGCAGTCAATGTCATGAGACAAAATGTGTATGAACTGCTGTATGGAAAGTAAACTTTCACCCAAATCACAATAAAAATTTAGGAGAAAAAATCA